TTTCTGAAAATGTACAATGTATATACAGTTGTAATCTCATTTTCGCTGAAACTTGCACACAAATAATAAGTATATTGTCCGCTATAAATGTATATTCCAAATTACTGAAACCACTGTAGCAGGGTCGCCAGTTTGAGATTTCATGTCTGCTACTTGCCAATTCGTCGGCTAATTTTAAAATAAGCTACTAATGAGAAGAAAGTCAATTTAAACTTTAGTCGTGATGGCAGTCTAAATTAGGCCCAATTCACTGCGTGTGGCCGAAGCTGACAACCCTGAACTATAGTTGCAAATTTTATCAGACACAAAATGAATAAATCATAAGAATCAGTTAACTGTTTCTTGTGATGTCTGTCATAATCATTGTGTTCGGTTAGCCGTTCTCAACTAGGTGGAATTATTGGCCTGAGGGTAATTGTTGGATGTAAGGGGGATGTATGGAAGACGCATTGACTGTTTCAAACTGTTGGACGATTTGCCTTTCTAAAACTTACAAAATTAGAAGAAGGAGATGTTTTTTTCCTGAATTTAGCATGAAACGTGTGCGTGTTAAAAATGAATAAATGCATAAAATAAAGTTTAAGGCAGGCATTAATCCTTTGAAAAATGTATTAATCCTTTACATCATAGCATTTGACTCCTTATTATCTAAATTTGTCTCCAATCATAAAAAAAGAATTATCATCATTTATTCATTATGCGTGGCTGTGGCCACTACTTCCCTTCGTCTCCTGTTGACATTCAAGAGAGTATAGTGCAATAGCTTGCAGGTTCCTTTTACACCGGAGATGTTGAGGTTACCTCCTCCCTCCTCTCATGTGTTAAAAAGGCTGGATCTACGCAGCAGCAGGTGATTTAATTTCAGACATTTCCTTCTCCTAGACTGGTTGCCAACCAAGGCTATAGGGACCAATTTTTCCAGCTATTTACCCATAGAGGGAAAAGAGATGGATTCATATCTTTCGCATTCAAATACGAGAATACAATTACCTCAAATGGAATTCGAACTCAGCACCCCGATTCCTCAATCCGCTATCCATTGCTCCATCGTGTTTCCATTCATAAGAATAGGTTAATGACTGATATGCTTCATCTCTATCTCATTTCTTCAATACGTCCTGTGAGCATTATATTTTACAAACCATCTTTCTTCATAATAAGTTCCAGAAATTTCAGTTGCATTTTTCTGATTTTATGTTTAAGAATTTTACTTTCTTAAAACTTCCTCTTTGTTCAGGTTTTCAATCTGTGGTATTCTCAACGTCACTCGGTAGAACAACATCTCAATATACAAATGTTAATATCTAGTCATTTGGATAGATATACATTAAGTGAAAGAAGTGTTTTTATCCATGAGTTCTATATGTCGACAGTATGTAATAAATATGATCGATATGCAGAACTTATTGATAAGAACAATTCTTTCATTTATTTTCTACCCATTCTGAACGATTTCCATCTCAGAAATCGGACACTTAAGGCGGAAAATATTAGGTTGGTGCAAAAATAATGTCGTTTTCTGTTTTGAAGTTGAACTTCAAAAACGACATTATTTTTGCACCAACCTAATATAAAAAGTTAAAGGATTTTTTTTTTTTTAAAGTCACTCATTTTCTCTTTCTTTTTTAATCTCGAGCAACGCCAATTTGGGAAAATAATATGAGATTTAATTATTTTAAGCACACACAAATGCATGGACATACAATACATTTTCCGTCTTCCGTCTGATGAAGCTATATAGGTGCAATGCATTATCGAATAGTATTTACGAATCATATTTTCATGAATGTTTTTCAAAATGTCAATATCCTATAACTCTGTCGAGATTACATACACAAAATTATTACATAGATATACATGCATATACAATTTTTTACTAATCATGAAATTAACAACCGGCCTAGATCGAGAAATGCTACTAAAGAAAACTTGTTTCTCCTAAAAAGAATCGTACATGTATCTATTTTATTTTTAACCTTCAGAGAAAACATTCCTATTCCCGCTAATTTCACCACACCACCAAAAAAAACCAAAAAAATGGAAAAACCATCCAAATATGTGTGGCTACTAAAAATAACATTTATCGTAATACATAACATAAAATATGTGTTTGTGTGTTATGTAGGATAGTATTTCTCTCAAGAAAATTCATATGGAACAAGTGAATTTCAGGATATACCGAGATTTATATATGAGAAAGTTATACTGTTTGAATTTCAGGTTACTATTCATATTCTTATTAATATTGTTGATAGCAATTTATTTTTGAGTTATGGTAACGGAAATATTAGCTGTTTCCTTACAAGAAATCATTCAGCATTGACCAAGCAGCCATTGCTACTTGGTTCTATTGTAGAAACAATTTGAAACATACATAAATTCTCAAGATATATGCCACAGCATATGTTAGATTACTCAAATACACAGAAATATTCGTAATTATTTTACATCTTAATATGCATTCCATAAATACATCGAATCGTCTTCAGGCTTTCATTCA